ACCCCGGTCCAGGGGCCTTTCTGGGTGGAGTTTGCATGTTCTCTCCGTGCATGCGTGGGTTTTCTCCAGGTACTCCGGTTTCCTCCCACAGACCAAAAACATGCATGTTAGGCTGATTGGTAACTCTAAATTGTCCCTAGGTGTGAGTGAGAGAGTGAATGGTTGTTTGTCTCGTTTGTCTCTGTGTCCCTGTGATGGACTTGCGACCCGTCCAGGGTGTACCCCGCCCCTCGCACAGTGATTGCTGGACATGGGCACCAGCGACCCCCGTGACCCAAAATGGAACAAGCGGGTAAAGAAAATGGATGGATGGATGGATGGTTTATGAAATCTTCTGGTAATAGACAAACACTGAGATACGTGCTGCCACTCTGCCGTTGCCTATCAGCGGCTGGTAACAATAATTCTCCTGTAGATAAATTATTTGGGATCCAAAAAAGTTCAATCTGGTCCTCTGGACATTCAAAAAAACAAAAAGCAAAATGTCCAGAGGACCAGATTGAACTTTTTTGGATTTTTCTACCTGGATTATTGAGCATGCATCAAGAAATTATTTGGGACATTTTCTGTCGTCCAGACTCATCCCCATGAAATAGAAGGAGCTTAGTTGGAAGATGTTCAGGATTTGTTTTTATATTAGAGAGTTTTTATTCTGTATAGGTTTGGGCTAAAAGTAAAAGCTTTAGAGCATGGGCTGCTTATTGGAGTCTGTCTGCAGAGCAAGTATTAAAAGGTTGTCAGAAGGGGGCAGTGTTAGATCAGATCCAAGCTGCTGAAATTTTCCCATTGTATCCTAAACGAGCTTAATATTTCAAAAACCATAAATGGCACAAGACCTGAAGGCCATAGCAATCATCTTCTGAATGCTCTTAATAATTATAAGATTGAACTGTTGCAAAGACAGCATGGTGGCGCAACTGGCAGAGCCACCACCTCTCAGGGAACAGGTTGCCCTGGTTTAAATCCTTACATTCATACATACATTCATCAATCCATCCATCCTGGGCAAGACACTGAACCCCTCATTGCCTCCAATGTGTGTCGCATTGGTGTATGAATGCTTAGGAAAAGGATGCTCTGAGTTACTTTATATATATATATATATATATTTATATATAAATATTATTATTATTATTATTATTATTATTATTATTATTATTATTAATAAATACTGGAATTGTGAGTGTGAAGGCCAGATGTTCGTAAAGTCCCAATTAAAAAAGCTGTTTGCCCTTTCTCTCACTTTCTGCCCTCACACATGCCTGTTTTTGACATGACATGTCAGACATGTTTCTGCAGCCATATGTGCCCTCATTATCAACACGTCTTTTTCCAAGAGGTGAACTTATCACATTGGTTTTTCACATCAGCAAGTCTGACACAGTGCTGTTGACTTCAGCAGCTCATTAGGATCCTGTTCACATGAAATAAACAACCTGTCCAGTGAAGAAGTTAATTGTGAGTCTGATTACAGTTGGATCTGGCTCACAGGAAACATTTTTTTAGTTTTTTTTTTTTTTTTTTTGTTTAAAACCTAAAAAGTCTAAGTCCCTAAAAAAAAAAAAAAAAAAAAAAAACCTCCTATAGGTTTTTGTCATTAATTCATGTAGACAAAACTACTAAAATGAATTTATTTATTTTTGAACATTGTCAGACAATTTTATTAAGTTCAAAATTTACTAAATGTTTGGTGAGTAAATATTAAAACCTGTAAGGCTTTTTTTTCCCACCTAATGATTTTCAGTTGTCTGCCCTGTTGTATTATGTACCATTTCTCTGTTTCCAGCCACTGATGGAAAACCATCTTGGTCCGTTTTTACAGTGAGTTTAAAAAGATAAGGAACCTCCTTTTGTGCACAAAATAAGAGCATCAGTTTAAAAGTCCTACACACTTCACAACTGGCTTTAACAAATTTGTATACTTGTTTGTCTAGCTTAAAACGAGAAGCATCTGCCATCTAAGGACAAATTAAATGTTACAAATACAAAGGCACAAAGTACTTTATTTGCCATTTGTACACAGACCGACAATCCAGGCACATTGGAATTCTTGTGCAGAGCTCTCTCAGTCATAATCAAGCACTGAAACAACACTAAATAAATAATGTATAAATAAGAATAAAGTGGGGGCAGCATGGAGGCGCAGTTGGTAGAGCTGCTGCCTCTCAGCGAGCTGGTCGTCTCGGCTCAAATCCTGGTCCATGGGTCCCTCTCAGTGGAGTCTGCATGTTCTCTCTATGTGAGTTTTCTCTGAGTACTCCGGTTTCCTCCCACAGACTAAAAACACGCATGTTAGACTGACTGGTAACTCTAAATTGTCCCTATAGGTGAGAATGAGAGAGTGAATGGTTGTTTGTCTAATTTGTCTCTATGTGGCCCTGTGATGGACTGGAAACCTGTCATGGGTGTCCTCCACCTCTTGCACAGCGATTGTTGGACATGGGCATCGGCGACCCCCGTGATCCAAAAAAGGAAAAAACAGGTAAAGATAATGGATGGATGGATGGATGGATAAGAATGAAGTGGTGTGTATCTACACTTTACAGAAACTAGGTAATACCTACACCCTCTCATGTCACATGACAATTGAATTTGGGTTATTATTGCACCTGATTCTGTGGTTTTGTTTTGCCATCATTTTGACTGTGGCAGGGGAAAAAAAAAAACCTTAATGGTCAATCGGGTCATCTGGACAGAGTATTTTTTTGTGGAATGACGTTTCGCTGCTGTATCCAGAGGGCTTCATCAGTCTGAGGAGTCCCAAGTAAACTGTTTTCCCCACCAAGCAGTACAGTCCTTTAGTGGACCAATCAGTTTGTTGGTAACAAGATGGTTTCTGGGGGCTGTCATGTCCCCCGTCGACTCCCAGACAGGCAGCCACATAAATATATTTAAAAACCTTGTACTATGGGTAACAATGTTATCTGCTCTACTGTGTCTCGAGTTATATGAACATTTATTTGTGTCTGATAAGAGTGTGAGCTGGATGAAGTGAGTCCTTGATGATTCTATCTGCTCAATTTCGACAGCACTGTACATACATCGAGTCCATGGAAGGAAGTTTTGTCCCTGTGACACTCTCCACCGTCTTTATGACTCTTTGCAGTGCCTTCCTTTCTACTTGTATAGTGTTCCCATACCAGATGGTGGTGCCTGCAATTAGGGTACTCTCTTTATCAGTCCTCTATAAGCCTGGGTGAGAGGGCATTGTTTCAGACCCGCTTTCCAGAGCAGTCTAATGTAGTAAAGTCTATGCTGGGCTTTTTTCACTGTGGCTGTGATGTTGAGAGACCAGCTCAGGTCCAATGTAATCTGCACTCTCTAAATTATTTGGCTGTCATCCCTCTCTACCTCTGTCTCTTTAATGATGAGAGGCTGTAATGGGGGAGGGTTCTTCCTGAAGTCCAATATGATTTTTCTGGTCTTGTCTGTATTGAGGATGAAGTTGTTCTTCTCTCCATAAGTAATAATGTTGTCTACCAGAGTCTTGTACCCTGACTCATCCCCCTACCCCATCCTGATGAGCCCCAATACAATGGTGTTGTCATCAACAATGGTGTTGTGTGTAGTGAACTCGGCCTCCGACCAAAACCTGCCTCTGAGGACCTTCATGGGACAGGAACTGTTATTTCATTGATTTGAATCCAGAAATACAAATTAGCTCATCCAGAGACTGTCTAATTGTATCCTGAAGTAATCAATTGAAAGAACACTCTTCTTTTTATATTATCATTACTATTTTACAATATCTTGATAAATCAAAAGTGTGTTTAGTTCATATCATTTCTAAATATTGAAGTGAACCACTCATTTTAAATCAACTGTGAAACAGTATTAATGATTTTTTTTAAATCCTCATTTAAATTAGAAATCAAGTTAAATGTCTATTTACAAAGTAATTGTGCATTTTGATGTTCTGTCTGAATGAGAAGTAGGGATGTCGGTCAAAAGTCAGAAAGGAGTTATTGGAACGAAGTTGATTGTTTTAAACCTAGCAGACAGTAAATAAGAAGCAACTGGGACCTGCTTGCTCTCACTTCTTCAAAACATTTATTCTGTCTGTACTGAAAGTTCCTAAAACATTCCTGCTGTTTTCTTGACTTATAATGACCCTCTGACATCACTAGAACCACCCCCCTGTTGGTTGTTTCAACCAATCAGGAAGTCCTGAAGTGACCGGAAGTGAGAACTCTTTAAAAGTCCACACTTCCTGGATTCTTCTGGAGTTTTTTTTTAAGTTTTTCAAGTCTTCAAGTCTTCTGAGTCGAGTTGGGACTATGGAGTCTTCCACATCTGAGTGGAACCTCTGACGGACTCACAGCTCGCTGTGAACCCACCCGGGCATAATGCCCTGCAACCTCGAAGGAAGCTGGTTCTGTTTAACGGAGTAAACCACACAACTTCTGACGATGCCCAGCCACTGCCTGGAGACGCTGTAAAAGGATCATACTAATGGACTCCTGTTCCTGAGCGGAGGTATCCCCGTCTAAGGTAACGAAGTCTCTGCACGTCCTGAAGTGTACCGGACAGTTGAGCTGGTGTTGAAAGAAGCGTGCTAATTCTGGTAAACAAAACACCTCCCCTTCAAGTGTCTTTAAACTCTTCGATTTCCCATCTTTAAACTCTTCTATTTTGCCAGTAGTCTAGATGCCTTCTTCAAATGTCCTGTTGTCTTATTAAGTAAAACGTGCCAAGTTTTATTAATCAGAACCAGATCAGCTAATCAAGTGTACAATGTTTTGATGTTAAATTTTGATTCTGTTCAATAAATGACCGCATTTATTCTGATGGGTCAAAGGAAATTAACGTCTCATGTCACTGATTTAAACAATCATCACAGTTATCTTGTCACATGGCAGTAATTTAACTCGAAAAAGAGAGAACCCGTTACATTTAAATAATTAGTAGTGAAAGGATCGCTAACCTGGCCCTTGTCACACTACATGTGCTGGCTGAAGACACAGTCATAGGGGTAAACAGTTTAGGGCTGAGGCAAATACCCTGCTGGGAACCTGTACTGATTATGAGTTTATTAGACACCTGTCCTCCTATTCTCACCATCTGTGGTCTATCTGTCAGGAAGTCCAGGATCCAGTTACAGGTGGGAGTCGAGACGCCAAGGTCTGTCAGCTTCTCTATCTGTTTGCCTGGGCGGATGGTATTGAAAACTGAATTGTAGTCCAGGAAGAGCATCCTAGCATAGGCTCTGCCACTTTCCAGGTGTTGCAGAGTGTGGTGTAGGGCTATTCCTACTGCACCATCCACTGATCGATTAGCACATTAACCAAACTGGAGAGTTCAACAGTATCTAGGACCATGCAGTTGATGTGCTTAAGAACCAGTTTTTCTAGGCACTTCATAGTAACTGATGTAAGTGCCAATGACCCGAAGTCATTAAGGGTGGATGTGTCTGGACTTTTGGGATCTGGTATGATGATACTGGATTTCAAAATATGGGGCTATACTGCCTGGGATAATAACAGGTTGAAGATGTCAGCACATACTCCAGCTAATTGTTCCCCACAGGCCTTCAGAACTGTGGGAAAAACTCCATCTGGTCCCACAACCTTGTGGAGGTTCAATTTCTTCAGAGCTTTCAGGACTTGTGTTTGTGACCCCTGGAAGGCAGTGTCCAGGGATCACAGGGGTCACTTGATCGTGTATCATTCTGTGTTCAACCTGTTGAACCTGGCATAGAAGTTATTAAGGCTGTCTGGAAGGGTGGCATCTCAGGGACCTGCAGTTGTTGTGGTTCTCCTGTAGTTTGTGACAGATTGGATTCCCTGCCACTTTCTGTGCGTGTTTTGGTCTTGAATAAATGAGTCACCGAGATTCTATGGGATTAACCAGTATAAATAAATAAAGGTTGAATGAAAAGTAGTTTTCAAGTTTTGTGAGTGAGCACTTTCGGCAGCACTTATGGACTTCTGTAGCTCATACAGGGCTTTCTTATATACTTCTCTTGATCTAATGACTTGAAGGCCTCCCTCCACTTCCTGATTTTCTGTTTTACGTCCCCATTAAACCAGGGTTTTTGGTTGGGGAACATCCGCACAGTCTTAAGAGGGGCACACATGGATGCACACCAGCTTATGTAGTCACTAACAGTCTCTGCATATCCATGGCTTTTGTTTGCAGCCTCTTTGAAGGTGCTCCGGTCTGTAGTCTCCAAGCATGCAAGCTAGCCTTTGCACCAACAGTCCAGTGTTAATGATCCTGATTGCGACTGGCTGTGTCTTAAGCCTTTTATTGTATACTGGTTAAAACCATATTGATATGTGATCTGACTTACCATATTGAGGTTTGGGTTCAGCTGAGATAGCTTGAAAAAGTACATTTTATGTATTTACATTTTATGTAACATTTTACAAGCCAGTAGTACCACCAAATGAGAGCCATGGAAGCCAACTTCACTGAGTTGAGTTGGTATAGTATTGTTTTATCCCCTGTAAAATACAAAACTGCAGTAGATTAGAAGATGATTTTCTTATTGCAGCATATTTCATATAGTCCATACATTTGTCATGACAAACGCTTAACGTAACTCCTGAAGTTCTGTTATGACCTTTTTTTTGGTGCATCACCCCAGGATTTTCATTGACCCCCATCCCAACATTCATTTTGAAAACTTTCTGGAAGTACCCCTGGTTATAACACAAAAAAGAAAGAAAAGAAAGTGGCTGAATCACCTGCTGTTTTGTTTGCCAACGGTTAAAGATCTCACTGGATCTGCTGTTAGTGATGACTCTCAGCTACTACCACACTTTTTAATCGCAATATATGTAAAACTGCCTGAGGTTTATTCAGATATTTGTGTGTGTGTGTTTGCTAAGGACTGGCTATGGCGGCCATTTTGAATAAGATGAAACATGATTAAATACAGTATAGAGGAAAAATGGCGTTCAAATTTTTTTAGGAAGCCTTGGGACTTGCAACTGATATATACATGTAACTTATGATTTAAATTAGTTCAAATAACTCATAATTCATAAAACTTTGGAGCACTTGATCAAACCTTTTAGGAGAACTGTTCCTTTAAACGCTCTCTTCGCTATTTTTGGCCGCTGTCGCTTTCCGTCCGACAATCCAGGAAGTGAGCAAGCTGGAGCGAATCTACTGGCGAAATACATGTTTTCGTTCTTACCTTGGACTAAAGTCTAGTCTACAATGTCTGGAGGTGTTCAGTTGGAGAATGCAAACCCTGTGGTCTTCCAGCGCTCCGTAGAAAGGCTGCTGACAGCCTCCGAGGAGGATGAAGATGTTTATGACCCCATCGACGACAGAGAAATATTTGATATCCTTTTAAATTCATGAAATTCTTATCTAGTTCACTTTGGTTTTACAACGATAGTGTTTATGCTTTTAATAAACACGCTATAACAAGTTAACGTCAAAAGATGAGTACTGCACGGAGAACTCGTTTATTAGGTATTTGTATTTTATATCTAATCTTGTGAATTTAATAATCGAACAAACAGGAACAAATAATGGATAAATAACTAATAGTTTACTCTGGACAGTGATGAAATACGGGTATTTAGCCAATAATAGTTTTAAGGTCACCTTGTTAGTGTAAAAATATATATTTTTAAGCCTGTCAGACAGCTATATTTGGTAGTTTTCACACTTTCAATCAAAGGAACTTGAACACGTGCCTGGATGTTTATAACAAGTGTCTGAAAGTGAATGTGTCCTTGATCTGCTTGAATGTGGCCATGTGTTAGTGATAAAAACTCAAAATATAGATCTGAAAATGGTCAGTTAGAGAGAGCAGACTGAAAATAACACCTAACATATTAAAATAAACTTTAAAATATTTTAGAAGCTTTTTTCCCCCTCCCAGAGAACTTGACAAAAGTTACAGGAGGGTCTGGTGCCTCATAAACAAACTACACTAAAAGAATGTGGGGTTTGGGGGCAACTTTGTACTGTAATTACTCTTTTGTTTTGATCTTTCATGCATAATGTTATTTATTTTGTTTTAAATTCTTTAATTTGTACTACATCTAATCCGGTCCATCAATGACCCTGAACATCCTCTGACCCTGGAGGAGCTCAACGTGGTGGAACAAGTTCGAGTCAAGGTATAAACGCTCACTGAACTGGGTTCAATCCTGGCTAATATTCTTACATTGACCTAAAGAGTCGTTCCCTGATCACTTACTTCACCTCGACGGAAGAAAATCTAAAAAGGGGAAAAAAATGTTGGTTTACACAAAATTTGGGACATTTGTTTGTAAGACTGAAAGTACAGATGTTTAAACATATTCTGCAGAAAAGTGTCAGATACCTTAAACTACCGCAGCTGACTTCTTGTGATGAGTGCTTTCCTCCATGTTCATCTACCACTTGAGGGAACAGAATTCAAGGTTGGGTACCATTTGAACCAGGTGGCAGGGTCTTAGGCATTCAGATTCCTGGTATTGTAAACCTGCTTTAGAAACTAAAAAAACAGTATAATAAAACACTGAAATAGGATACCTGAAATCTGAAAACACCAGAACCTCACAAAGAGGGACTTTAGCTAATAGCACCATACTGACCTTTGTAAAATAAGAAACTGTGCTAATATTTCATGTGAGAAGTTGCAACTTTCTGAAGAATGTTTTGGACCACCATGGGTTTGGCATTACATTCTCAACAAGATGCAGCCATTGTTCATTTGAAGTCTGTTGTGAGCTCCTCTTGTGCTGCCATAAAACTCAGTGAGACATTAGCAGGAGATCCTATGTGTTTTTTGGTTTGCTGATCAGGCTGTCCTTGGTTAGGGTTGTGTTCTTCTGCTTCTTACCACTTTAACAGAATATTAGAGAATGTAGCATTTTAAAATGTGGTCTGAAAAGACTGATCTTAATGTGTCTTGAGTGAGTTTGTATATTTTGTTATAGTTATTAAGATCAGATCACCCAAGATGTGTGTTACCATCAGATGCAGCGTGTTTAATGTAGTCTTTTCTTCAGGTTCATGATGCAGAGAGCACTGTGAGTGTCGAATTTACCCCCACCATACCTCACTGCAGCATGGCAACCCTCATTGGACTGTCAATCAAAGTCAAGCTGCTGCGCTCCCTGCCCGACAGGTTCAAAGTATGTTTGTGTGTTTGCATGCAGGGGATGGATGTTCAGTGTCACAACTTTCAATGTAAAAGTTTTTAAGAAAAAAAAAAGTTATTACCGCTAATTTTTTTCAGTTGTGGTCCAAGTTTAGTCTGATTTCTCCTTTCCTATCCAGATTGATGTTTGCATCACTCCTGGGACTCACGCCTCAGAGGAAGCAGGTAGAAGCAGCAGTCATGATGAGATATATGATTTCTGGTCTTGCTTTTTGAGTCTATTTTTTATTTAAAGTTAGGGATTTGTTTTCAGATTCAAATAATTTTACCTAATGTTTTTATGTTGTCTGTATGTGCAGTGAACAAACAGCTAGCAGACAAAGAGAGAGTGGCAGCAGCTCTGGAGAACTCGTCTCTTCTGGAGGTGGTCAACCAGTGCCTGTCCACCAGGAACATCTGAACATCCTGTCATGGCTTATTGTTGTCTGTTTTCTTTTTATTTGCTGTAAAACTGAACATCCGGACATTTTCGGTCTCTATTTTCAAATCAGATGTGTCTCATATATCTGTCATCTGCAGCTGCAGATGTACTCGGAGCACACCAAAGCCCCGAAAAGTTTCAGTAAACTGAGTTTAGGCTTAATAGCAAATTATGTTTTTTTTTTTCTCAATCTGTATTGTAATGTACTTTTTTAAACAGATGAGAAAATATCTGGGGAGTTAGCAGCATCGAATGTAATTTGTATATAATACTAATGCTTTTGAAGTTTTAATTAAAAAAATATATTGGTCAGTACTGATCTTTATTTTATTTGACATAAAACTCAAGATAAATATGGATCTTGTTTGAGGCCTTTTTTGATGTTTACACACGTGTGGGCTAGTTTAACATTTATATTTATCTACTTTGTTTGCCTGAGCTGCCATAAGAAACCAAAATGTTTTTAAAAGATACTCTTTAAGCTTGTTCTATGTGTTGGAGATATAATTAAAAAGTTAGTTTTTTAATCAGTTCTAGATGTACATTTTAATGTTTAGTTTCTGGAAACTTCCTAAATGTTGGTCCTGTGGTTTAAGAGGGGTTTGCTAACAAATGACCACGTGACATGATAACAGACGGAGTATGTGTTGTAAATAACTTATCTACTCCTACACCAAATTTTAGGTCAATATTTATAAAACTGCCTCATTTATAACATTTTTTGTGTGTTTTGTGTGACAACAGAAGTCTCAGGGCACTGAACAGAAACATTCACTTTCATAAAAAGTCATTTAGTAAAGTTATCTAAGGAAGCAGCAGATTGCTTTGTTAAAAATTGTCAAATAATTGATATTTTGCTAACAAACAGCAGTACCTTCAAGATATAATTATAAATAAATATTAAGTAATTTAGTCAGCTCTAAATTGTTCCGAATGGAAGAACGGGTAAGACCTTTTTTCATTAGATAAAACTGTTTATGTTTACAAATATCCTCCAGGTGTCGCCCTCTATCCATGTTGGCATGTTTTGGAGCGATGCTACATACTATATTAATATTAATACTTTTTATAGTTTAATTCAGTCAGCTATAATGGGACATGTACTAAAGAGATTTACTCATCACCAAACAATCATTTGTTTAATATGTTGGCATCATATTAATCCAGAACTGGAGGTTAAATGCTATTTGTTTATTTATTTGTAAAGCCTGCAGCGTGGTTTAGTTTACTTATTTGCAGTCCCATTACATGCTGACGCAGATTGCATTGCAGCATAACAAAGTGTTCCTTGAAGCTCTTCTCTTTCTCCCCTCCTTCCGTCTCATTTTTGTTCCACATCTGGAAACATTGCATCACAGCTAAAACAGGATAAGAGAGACCCAGCGGCACAGCTGCAGCAGCTGAAACCAGAGACGTCAACGCGACGAGCTCAGTCAAAGGAAGTGACCACGTGACAGGAAGTCGGTTTAATTAACCGATTTTATTCGTTAAAAAAAGTCTGCCAGAGATTTTTTTATTTGAATAAACCTAATCTTTTGATTAGAGTGATTTAAAATAAAATAAAAATGAAAGTGCGGCACAGAAACCCAATAAAACTAGACTCAACCCAGCTATTGCCAGGTATACAATAATTATTGAATGTATACGATAGTTTTAGGGATAGTTTGGGTCAAAATACGATGATTTTTAAAGCGACAGTACGACAGTTCGTCATTTCCTATCTGGCAACCCCGGCGCTGCCTCTTCCTGCCAGCTCGTCTGGATTGGCTGCTCGGCCGTCTTCATCAGCAGCCTGAGGACAGTGACGGTCGATGGGAGATTATCAGTCCTGTGTCATATTTTCAGAGGTAAGGCGAAATAAACATCTCCTGGACTTTTTTCTTGTTGAAGCTTTGGCTCTGTGAGCTCCAGTGAAGCGGAAACAAACCGTGAGACTCGAGTTCGGCTTAAAAAAAAAAGTTGTGAACTTCATGAAAGCAGCTGGGAATGATTCCAGCAGCAAATGGGTTGTTTATTTCACCGTCCTAAAGGGGTTTAGTGGGCACAGACATTGTTTTGCAAACCTTTCCAGTGGTCTGACAGCGGCTTTGGTAGCTGTAGTGTAGGCCTGTATGTTTAGTAGTGCTCTTCAAAAAATGTCCAAAGTGAGGACTTTTAAATTTAAACTGCATTTTGTGGTCTGTAAGAGGATGTAGCTCGTCACGGATGTACACTGACATACCCCGAGAGTTGCAGAACTGACCTGCAAGGTTTTTCTTGCGTATTTGAGTTTTATTTTCAGAAGGTTTGGCTAAGAAATAAAGTCCTTGAATACACAGGCAGGGGCAAAGAATGCATTAAAATGTAATGCATGCAGTTTGGACAATGCCATGATGGGGTACAAAACACTCAAATTCCTGCAAACATTTAGTTTTTAAGAATATTGGGATGAGTTTGGTTTAACTGAGAACAACAACAACAAAAATCCCGTGTTTCATTTTTTTTCAGTTACAGTAGTTAACACCAGTACATTATAGTGGATTAGACTTTTCTCCAGTAGTTTAAAAACTACTTTTTGTTTCATTTGAACTCAATTACCTGTAGAGCTTGGAGTCTTGAATGTATTTTAAAACAATACTTTGTAATTTCTTTTTGTCAGTACTTCTCCTTTTGCAAGCAGGAAGATGTTCGTGACTAATGTGTTTATAGTTTAGGCCAAACTACGGTAGATTAGATTTCACACATGCAAAGTTGTAATGTGGCATGCAGCCTTAATTTACCATAAGCAGAAAAGAAGCTCCGTCTTCTGTGGTGGAGATAACTGTATCTGGTGGTGTGTGATGTTCTGCACCCAAGTGCTTGCAGCAATAAATCTAGCTGCTGCTTGTTCAAGTAAAGACAGTTGTTTTCTTGTAACAACTCATTATAGAGAGCAAACTGTCTTTTTTTGTCCCTGTGACAAATTAAGCTCTATTTATGTTTTTAGATTTATTAAACCTTATGATTTGTGTCTATGTAAAAAGCTTTAAAAGTCAGTGGTTTATGAGCGGCTGTTTGTGAACTGATGTTCTGAAGCTTCAAGTTCTGCATTGGTTCTTCCTCTTCTCATTTATTTTGTGCGTGTTCTTTTTTTTCAGCCCCCATTCTTTTCTTGAAAAAGAAACCAACTGTCTAAATAAAGGTTGAATGAACTGAAGCTTGGCCAGATGCTATGTGTTTTAATCTTACAGCAATATCAAATCTTAAAAATATATTTTCATTGACTACCGAGTGCACTAATGCAGGGGAGTGAATTTGGCTAATGACACCCGAACGTGCTGAGGATAAAACAAGATTCGAACACCCATTTTCACACAACACGTAAGGTGCTCGGAGGCGACGCGTGCGGCACACGGCTCTTTTCAACAACACTTTTGGCCATCCAGCTGTGACTTGAATTTGCCTCTTTTTGGTTTGTGTGAAAACCAAAACTAGGATTTGTTTATCTTAAAATAATGAGACACAAAAATGCGTATAAATAGGCCTGTCGCAATAAACATTAAATCAATCGCATGATAAATTAAAATTATCAACCTCATTTTCATTTATCGGCTTTATTGTTTCTTTGTGTCTCTCTCTTTCTACTGAAGACACTGGATGACAAAAGGATCAACTCCCGTTCTCTTTTAAATATGTTTTCACAGTCCAAAATTGTGTTTTTGATCGTTAAAAGCAGCTAAGCTGAGAAGCTAAGCTATGAGCTAAGCTAACAGGCCAACCTGGGGGGGGGGGGGGACCTCCGTCTTGTCGAAGCGCCATAATTCACGGTTGAAACCTGTGCCTTCATGTAAAAGTTTTTTTTCTGAAAAAAAGAAGCTGAGAACTTGTTTACTGATTTTTTTTATTTTTATTAAAAACTTTGTGTGAAAAATGCTCTGCTAAAGAGCTCAAACTACACCGAGCGTCCGCCATTTTGAGAACTGGAAAACAGGAATGAGAGACGGCCCATGTCATATGAAGGGGCCTCCCTCCCATTTTTCTTAAATAGACAAGCTGCTCGCTCCCTCACTATCCATCCTTTAGCTCAAACAGTCTTGTTCTGCCATCCGGTGGTCAAAAAGAGGTACTATAATCAAAACAAATTAACCAACATTTCTTCTTAAATTTGACAATAATTGCTAATTATTGTCAAATTTCAAACTATTTTATCATTTATCGCAATAATTTCTGAGACAATTAATCACCCAGCAAAATTGATCATGACAGGCCTACTTATAAAACCAGCTCAGGACAATGTCCTTAGCTAATTTTGCAAAGCAGCATTTTGTTTTTCTCCATCTCTATTTTCTACAGCTTATCCATACTCGATTTGTGGAGGCAACAGCTCCAGGAGAAACTCAGACATCCGTCTCCCTAATGACACTTTCCAGCTCCTCCTGGGGGATGCCGAGGAGTTCCAGGCTGGAGAAAATACATAATCTCTCCTTAGAGTTGTGGTTCTGCCCTGGGTTCTCATCTCAATGGTACATGCCCAGAAAACCTCCAAAGGGAGGCGTCCAGAAGACATCCTAATCAGGTGTGTGAACCACCTCAGGTGACTCCTTTCTATGCAGAGGAGCAGTGGCTCTACTCTGAACTACCTTCAAATGCAGGAGCTCCTTAACCTATTTCTAGAGCCATACTACAAAGGAAGCTCAGCTGCTTGTATCTGGGATCTCCTTCTTTCAGTTATGGTCCAAACTTCACGAGGGTTGTAATCAGACCAGTAAATCAAGAGCTTTTTATAACTCAGCTGTTTCCTCACCATCACTGATCAAAGCAACATTCATTACTGAAGACGAGGTCTTATGTCCATCCATCTCCCGCTCCCATCGTACCATCATTTGTGAACAACACTCACTAATACTTGAACTCCTTCACCTGAGGCAAAAACTTCCCATTGACCTGGAAGGGGCATTCCACCTGTTTCCAGATGAAAACTACAGCCTTGGAATAGAGGAGCCGACTCTCATCCCAGCAGCTTCACACCTGACTGCCCCAATGCACAGTGAGTCATGGTCTGAAGACGCCAACAGAACCACATCATCCTGTATTTCTGTCTTTAAGAAAACATTTTACAATTCCCTTCACTAGCTGTGCCTTATTGACACACACAAATACTCTGTCCTCGTTAAGTTGCTGCTGTTTCTCTTTTGAAACCCACATAAACTAAACCGAGGTGGCTCGGCGCTGCGTAAGTTTGTGCCGACACATTGCACTATGATCACCAAAACCTAAAAAGAAACCTGACACATTGTGGATTAGATGAAGGAATATAGGAGGAACATTTTCTAGACACATGTTGTACTTGTGTTTCTTCATCTTGGAATTAACTAGTTTCTTGGTTAGCCGACACCCATTGAAAACTTGGGACATGTGTAAAGACGTTGTAGTTATTCTTGCACCAATCAATTTGTGGTAACATTTCATCAACTTTGTTTTGACCATTGCACAACAAAAAGCAGCCTTACTAATGTGCTCATGTTGCCTCTTAAATTCACATACTTTCTCACCGAGCTAGTTTTAGCTCATTGTAGCTCAAAGTTCTTTGAATTCTTTGGAAACACAGTGGGACCATCCCAGCATTTGTTAGGGCTGTAGACGCTGAATGGATTTCAGTCATGACTTTCTTCACTGCAGTTTATTCAGATTTATCTAAAACAGATTCTTTTTGCTGTGTAGTCAGTGATCCAACGTGACCAGAACTGGTCCACTGTTGTGCGTTGCTTCTTGGATTTTGGTGAGGGAAAAAAATGCAATTTTGCTTGCTATATGTGAACGATAATAGAAACGGCATGCATTACTGTGCTTGGTTTCCTGTTTAAAACATGTGATCTTGGCATCACTCTGTCCATGCTGAAACTCATGGCCACATGACCTGTACATTTTTAGTGTAACCAGCCCGTCAGTCAGTCAAATCTTAAACAATTTATAGGATCAGGAAATGCTGCAGCAGGAATAGATTTGTATACATCCCGCTTTGCGTTTGCCTTGTTACAGCACTTCTTCTGGTCTAGTTTACATGAGAGTAAAGGTTCTGAAGTCAATGATTTTCTTCAAGGTGAGCAGCATAAATGTTCATGTGACTCCCCTAGAGTCAAAAACTGACCAAATCAAAACGGCAAAATGAAAAGGAATGGAAGTCACCTGCTGCCGTTCATGCCAGAGTTTTAGGCTTGTGGGGAGTGGTGGCGCAGCGGTTAGAGAGGTGGGCCTGTGATCCGAAGATCGCCGGTTCACGCCCCGGCCCCGACAACATCAAAATTGTGGGTGGGGTAGGTGAAACACCCACACTTGCCCCCACCCTCATTCGCCCCACTCTGGGCCCATGAGCAAGGCCCTTAACCCCCACCATGTGCTCCCTAAACAGGTCTCTCTTGAAAATGAGTTCTCGTGGCTCAATGAGACTACCTGGATAAATAAAGGCTAAATGAAAAAAAAAAAAAAAAAATTATGTTGAGAAATGTTGTTAACTGGTAGCTGTTTTGGTCAAACATTGAAAATAATATATGCAATCTCATGTGGTGGCATGAAATATAACACTCAAAGTTGTTATAAATGACTTTAAACTACAACCACAGCAAAATTGAGCTCATCTGTAAAATGGACTGTTATAGCCATTTTTTTTAAATATTGCTAAGGTTGCTTAGCTGTGGCAGCCATCTTGAATCAGTTTCAGTTCAATTCAGTTATATCTAGTTCATTTATATAACACCAAGTCGCAACGGAAGTCTTCTCAGAGCACTGTACAGAAACATTCATATACATAAAAAGTAAGTTAAGACTGCTTTGAATTTAACTTCACCACAGACTCTCATAATGAGCAAGCAAAATGGTGACAGTGGAAAGG